CAGTCCACATTCTTTCATCGACGGGGTCCGCAGCATACCCTCCCTGCCTGACCGGGTGGGACAGGTAGATATAATGGGGGTGAGACGGTCCCTCAGGTAACCCGGCCCCATGCCATGTAGGGCTTAAAGGTGATGACCAACACCTTGAATTGGATCCGGAAGCAAACTGGGACCCAGTGCAGCTCATGCAGCAAAGGTGTAACATGTGCCATCTTTGGGGCACCTAAAATTTTCCGTGCGGCTGCATTTTGAACCAGCTGAAGCTTCTGGATACTTTTCCAGGGTAGCCCCGTGTAGAGCACATTCTACATAGTTTATAGTCTATACGGAAGATGACTAGGGATGCATAATTTATTTATTTTTGAAAAGGCAATTTTATTTATAAGCAAAAATTGACACAATAAGTTCTCCTTTGGCATAAATGTCATGACATTTTATAACAATAATGAATTATCACTTATTTTCTTTAATGCAGATTTAGAAACTTTTAAGTATTGTTTGATATTGGATGGATATCTGATATGCATACATCGTTTTCCCCCTTTCTTCCTTTTGTTTTTTTCCCCTTTGTTTGGGTTATTATAAGTTTTTTCCTCTTTTTTCCTAGTTCTGTGTATTTCGTTTTGTAAAATTTGTTCAGATAAGTAACCTTTAGTCTTTAAAAAAATGCATTAAAAAGGAGTGGGGGAGGGCAATGAACCCAGAGGGTTTATCCAGCCACCCCTTTGCTTAAGCCGCTGTCCACTTGGAAGTCGCAACGCTGCATGAGAGTTGGAGCTGGCAACACTAGAACCCAAGATCCTGGGAGCGGGCAGCCAGTTTTCTGCTGACTTGGGAGAAGGGGCTATCCCTTTAATGGGGCTATGAGGAAAGGCCTCGAGGACAACCGCTGTACATAACTATCTAAGTGACGTGGAAGGGGCACTGTATGCAATATAGAATGCCCTGAGGGGCTCACTGGCCAAGGAGGACATTTATTTATTAGTTTTTAATGGATGAGATTTAGTTACCACTCAGTTGAGATGGATTCTAGGCAGGGTTCGGAACAGATGTAAAGTGACAGAGGATAATTAAAGAATACAACGAAAGAGCAATTATTGCCTTTCCCCCATGAGAGAAGGGGTGCTTTTGAGGGCTTTTTTTTTTGTTCTAATCAGGGAAGCGAAGCCTCCAGCAGGCCACAAAACGCAGCTCAGAAGAGGGATGTGGCCAATCCCGTGGACCAGGGCCAGTGGCATTCGGTGGGATATCACCTACCGCCAGAGATGTGGCTGTGCTGTCTTCGCTGTCCCCAGAACGGTCCTTCACCTGCAGGTTCTTCAGTAAGAGATGGAGGATTTGCACAGCCATCTTGGGACTGGAAGCCATGGCCGTCCAGAGTTCACTGGCCTGCCTGGGAAATAAGCCTGAAAGTCGCAAATGGGGAGGGGTACTCAGAGGGCAGAACCAGCCTGTAAGGCTGATTTAGGGGTCCTACCTGTTGAGGGGTATGGAAAATGATAGGCAGCACTGCATCACTTCCTCCAGGTGATAAGGGATCATCAAGGCTAGAGCCCTCAGCACCACTTTCCGGGTCCAGTAGGAAGCGTGGCGTAGCTGCAAGCACACGTAGATGCCTCCAACAACATCTCTGACCTGCCCCAAGCAGAACAAACACTGAGTTTAGTTGTCACCTGCAAAAGAGGGGGCAGCTTATAGAGCCATGTACTGGCTTCAAGGACTGGTACGTTCAGCCTCCCTGAGCAGGGGGAAGACTGGACAAGCCGTCCAGCTGGTTTCTGCTTTCTTTTTATGGCCAGACCGTTTGAGGATGAACACTGTTTCATGTCACGCTGGGCTTTAGGCTTACTGCAATCCTTCGTCCTCTATTAGTCAGTTGTGCAGCCATTTATATCCTGCCCTACTTCAGAAGGTGGGGGGCTTGCAGTAATTGCAAAGATGATAAAAACAAGTGCATTGAAAATAATCAGCAGAACCCAGAACCACAAAAATCGAGCATCAAGGCTGCATCAGCTCTTCCAGGTAGACCACAAGCAATACTTTACTTTATTGAGATAGGGGACCATAACAGAATCTTGAAAGGCTGACAGGATTTCTCTTTCCCTCCCTCTTATACCCAAGAGGGTCAAGGGGGGCCACCTCAAGTTTCTTCCTCCCCCCTCCCCATCTTTCCAGGCTAAGCTGATGTCTTTGTCATATTTTCTTCAAGACTGTCTCTGCATACAGGCTGCCTAGGTCCAAGCCTAGAAGCAGTAGCTCCTGTGGACTTGCTGGTTCCGGGTAATTCATCCACCCGATGCTTCACCAGCTGCAAAGGCCCTTCGGGTGTGTCACTTAAAGGGGTGTTCTGTCAGGGTCACCCGGGGGATTATGCTCTATGTTAACAGGGTGTCTTGCTAGCCATCCAAAGGCTGTTTGCTGCCTTGGCTGCTCTGCATACCTGTCCTCTTGAAATGTGCCACCAGAGCAGTTGAGAGCTAGGGCAGGGTAGAGGGTAGGAGCTGGACAAGGAGACCCAACTGCAGCTGGACAAGGAGACCTCAGCCACGGAAACTCACTGAGTGACTTGGGCCAGTCACGTATCTCTCTTCCCCCCGCCCCCCCAGAACCCCCCTCTCCATTTTACAGGGCAGAACAAGAAGGGACATCCCCGGGTAAGTTTCTTCAAGATCCTAGAGGAAAGATGGGGTATCAGTTTAGCAAGTAAAGAAAGGGCAAGCTTCTGCTGTATCCTAGGACCTGAGAATGTATTTCCTGTGGTCTGAATTGTAGCACTCAGTGGCAGTTGAGTGGAGGCCAGTGTTGGTCAGACCAGAACAGAAAAGGAAACAAGTGTCACCACAGACAAAAGACAAGGACTTCTCCTGACAGACCCATTTGTTCACCCAGGTAGTGAAAATCGAATGAGATCATTCATGACTGGAGTGGCCTCTAAGCTCAGAGCTAGCAACCAAGAAACAAATACTGTAAATAAAACCACTGCATTTTAAGTAGCAGGAAAAATGTAAGGGAGGGGATGGACACCGCAGCTAAAGACTCTCACCCTTTCCACCTTCATGGCATGGTTCTGCAGAACTGCACTGAGGACCTCTTCTGCTGCCTTCAGTACTTCTGGACTGGACCCTCTCAAATAGTCCAGCACGGAGAGCAGGAGGTTGGTCAACTGAGCTGAAAAGAGCTGGTCACCACAATGCTGCAAAGAGAAGCACAAGATTTGACAGGCATTCATCATTTCCTTTGGAGAAGACAGGACCGGAGAGCTTCCAGGCAGCATTGAACCCTTCCCTGAGAGCTTCTCCAGTGAAAGATATGGAAGACCAGCCAGAAGAGGATAGGGAAGAGCCTTTTGGCTAGGTGAGATACAGGATGGGTAAACTCAGCCCTGACCAGATGGAGTGGCTATGGGTCCTTGGTTCTTCCAGTATTGGGGAGTTGACATTTTTAGTTCAGGATGGGATTTCACTTTCCCATCCCAAACTGGTGTGCAGTTTTGGAGTCCTCCTGGAATCTCAGCTCTTGCTTGAGGAGGTGGTGGCAGCTGTGGGCAAGATTTTCCTGGTGCACCAATTGTGACCTTTCCTGGACAGGGACACCCTCCTCTCAATCACTTGTGCCTAAATGTTTGGAGTATTATAATGCACTCTATATGTGTCACCACATAGGGTAGACCGGTCTAAGAAACCAACGCTATATCGATCTAAAACTACTTTTGTTAGAACAGCTATAGTAACAGATCCTTGCAAGTCTGAATGTGCTTCCCTCCTCCCTCACTTTATCTTCGAGTGAATTAGGGAGGGGCCTGAGACATTTTATCAAGTTAGATTCTTGGAATGGATTTAAGCTGTACTTGTCTGATTGTTGCCTTGGTAATGGATCTTCCCACTGTCCTTCAAGGCCATTCTCTATTCCCTCTACAATATGGCGCTGCCCTTAAAAATCATTTGGAAGCTGCAACTGGAACAGAATGCAGCTGTGCAAGTAGTTATGGGTGTGCTGGGCACGCCCATGTGACATCTCTGCTGTGCAAGCTGCAGTGGTTGTTAATGTGCTTTCAGGTGCAATTCAAGGTGCTGGTTGTGACATAGGGCTTGGTACTTGAGGGACTGCATTTCTCCCATTGTTTCTGCTCCCTGTAAGGTCAAGCAGAGTGGGCACCCCTTGGAACAAAGTCACCTCATTGGGCCAAGGAAGTGCATGTTCTCTGCCCTCTGGAACAGCATCCCTCCAAAGGTTTGTGTTGCCCTGATCCTTTAAATGCACTTTGAAGACCTGCCTCTTTTCCTAGGCCTGGGGTAAGGGGCATCTTTTATTATAAGACCAGGTTCTTTTTAGTTTTTGTCATTTTTATCTGGTCTTGCTATCTTTTGCATTGCACATTTTTATTGTAAGCCATCCAGAGTCAGTAGAGTAGGGTGGCCCTATAAGTTTGATCACACAAACAAACATACAAACAAACAACTACAATGATTGTTATGAACTCCTAATGTGACAGTTGTGACAACCCTGTAACTGTAAACCACTCTGAGATGGTTCAGCATAGGAAATTGTATCAAGATATACCTATGAAAGAAAGAAAAGGCGGTTTGGTAACCCCTTCAGAACTTAGGGCTCCTCCAATTCTTCCTCGTCTGCTCTGCTCACTTTTTAAAAGAAGCAGGGGATTTTAAAATCCCCTGGAACAGCATGAAAGGAGGATACTGGCTCTAGGTAAATGTGTACTTGCTGTGCACAAGAAAAAGGTTATTGTGACACACGAGGGCTGTTGCAATGTAGGCATTCTATTCTGAGGATTTCCATGCTCAGCGGAAACCTTTTTCTCAAATTCTGCTGCAATTCCCCTCTGACCTGCACTTCCTCCAAAAGTATGACTTGCAAAGCCAGTGATGCATTAGAGTGATGCCTTTGTAATTTGTGGAGCCACCACAAAGTTGTGGGCTACACTGCAGGCCTCGGTCCCTTCCCCCCATATCTGGTGGGGGACCCGTGGGGGTGGGTAATAAGTAATTCTTCTATTGCCCTAGCTATAAGTAAATAATTTGCTTATATTGCTTACTGTTATTTAGTGTTAAATAAATATATATATTATTAAAAGTTTATATTTAATATAGTTGTGGGATCTGGCCTAGGGATGGCCTGGAAGAAAACTGAATTTTTAATCTCTTATTTCATCTTCAGCACATGTTGATGTCTATTAGGCAATGGAAGGCTTGGGGAGCTGTGCTTAGGGCATCAGTTGGCCTTAATTTGGCCCTGGTTCTGCTAGAGTAATTGAAGTTGGTTGACCTGCTCTGGGCTTGTTTAGTGGGCTTCTGTGTGTCCTGCTCTGACCCCGTCTAAATGTTTTGGAACCCAAAGAGCAGTCATCAAGTTCAAGATCTTGCAGATAAGAGTCCTTTGGCCTCTTGACTGTATGACTCTACAAGCAGCTGCAGAGTGAGTAAAATGAGAGAGAGAGAGAGAGAGAGAGAGAGAGAGAAGACTCTGGCCTGGCTTACAAAACGCACTTAGCTTAGACAGCTGCCAGTGCACATAAATGGCCGCCACCACAAAGCATGCTAATGGGACAATTGGGGAACATACCTTTCCTGCCTACAACCTCCTGCCCATGAGCCCTTGTGCTAGGAGAATGCCAGCAAGGATTCATTGCTCCAACGGGCCCTTCTCCGTGCAGGGCCTAGCTTGGGCACTGCAGTTGGTGCTTGGGAGCCTCTTCACAAGGCTGTCAGGACTCAGCCGAGAGTTTTTGCTTTTGCAACTGCTGCACAACTCTGTCTCTTTTCCTTAGTGGACTGAAAAGGCAGGCCTTGGGCCCAGCCCCTCAGTTCACTGGGTTTGGGGGCTTATCAAGCAGAGCTCCACAGTTTGACTCCCAGTGCCCTAGCACAGCTTTTAGTTAAAATGTCCCTCTTCTGTTGACTGGGTTAGCAGGGGCTCCTGCCATACTCTTCTCCAGCACTGACCCTGTGAAATATGTTGGGTGACAAAGGCTGCTGGCCTAAGGGAATCTGTGACTCTGGCAATACACATCTCCAGATGGAGTTAATCTGCCCAGAGAGAATATGCCGTTTGGCCCAGAGTGAGCACCCAACACCCCTTGGAGCCAGCCACAGTACCATTGCTACATGCCAACTGCTATCCAGTGCTAAAAAAGCAGGGCAGTCCTGTTCCTGGAGTTTCACGCTCCTCTTCATCGACCACTTCAGCTTCTTTTGCTTGCTTGTCTTCATGCCTAGAGCAGAAGAGAATGGCTGTTATTATTTGGCACAGTGGCAGAAGGGAGTGCCAGGAGAGGAATCAGGCAGGACAGCGATGCCATCCGGAAATGGGTTCGTGCAAAGCTTTGTGAGCACCTGGGATTGTAAGGCTGGGTGAAGGCTGGGCTGAGGGAACCCTGCCCAGGCAAAGAAGCTGGGGTGGATGTGGGAAAGGAAGGCTGCAGGAAATGAGCAGAGAAGGCAAGAGGACAGGCAAAGCAGACCGACGGAGGATGTGGAAGGAGAGAACAGCAGCTGACCTGGAGCAGAAAGTGGGGAAGAAATGGAAGGAGAGAATGTTACCTAGGCGGGAGGCAGAGAGGAAGGAGGATTTTTCCACACAACAGAGAAAATGTTTTAAGAGGGGAAACAAACGGGATGCCCACGAGGACTTATACAGAACGGATGACGGACCTGTTCAGTGCTGAAGACGCTTTCTGTCCTGGGGATGTGAGGAATACACACGTGTGACCGTTCAGGGACATAACATACCCAGGGATCTCACACACACATACAAACCCATATCTTCAGCACATCACTGGTGGGGAAGAAGGGAACAATGCAGTGCACATAGATAACTTTTTATCTTTGCCACAGGCTATGGGCGCATACTCTGCCGTCCCTTTGTGGCGCTCTGTTTCAGGGGAATTGGGAAGGCTGAGGCCCATCTCATGCTCAGGGTAGGGATTCAAGCTAAGGAATCACTGAAGATCATTGTCCAGCTGCTCCTTGAGCACATGAATCCCACAGCCTCGTGGGGCGATGGGTTCCCCTGTCAAAGTTCTCTGTCACTTTGGACAGTTTTCCTATCAGCCAACTGCCAAGTGCCCTCCATTCTTTTCCTGTCCTGCCCCTGGAAGGGTGGAAAGTGGATGTTGGTCTTCTTCTGTACAACAGCCTTTCAGGCTTCTCAAGGCTCATGATAACTGCAGTCTCTTGGGGAAGAGTGGAGGAGTTTATATATATTTTTTGCTGGTTGTTGTGACATGGTTTCAAGATTCTTCTTAGGTAAAATAATTCACAGTGGCTTCCAGTTGGGCAGGTTCTAATAAGGTGACTGTGGCAACATCTGGCAATATCATCCAGAAATCACTTGAGCTTGTGGAGTCTGAAGAAATGGAAAAAAGTTCTGCAATGTTTGCCCTGGGCTCAATCCAGGCCCCACTGGGCTCCTTCAGGTGCTATGGTTGTCAATGTAATGTGGATTAAGAACTGGAAGCAATATTTTATGTGCAGTCTGACCACCCCCCAAGTCCTGCCTCATTGTGGTGAGGGTGGGAGTGTTCCTGGGAAGCATGAGCAAAGAATGCTGGGAGTGTATGCCCAGAGTGTCTATTCCCAGCAGGGTCACCCAAGGAATGAAAGTCATCCCATTGCTCAGCTAAAGCAAGCGGGCGCCTGTAAAAATGTTGACCAGTACAGGGTTAGGGTTAGAGCTACAGTCTATTATCTACTTGATTATTGTGCTATCTAGTCCACACCTAACTAGCTGACTGCTCAGATTGTCAGAGTACTTTCTCAAATGCTTTGTTCGTATCAAGATAGATTATCTTCATAGCTTTCCCACAATCTACTAAGATGTTGCCCAATTAAAAGAAAAAAAGGTATCTAAAGATTATTTGGCAAGATTAGGCAATTACTATTATTGTTGTGAGCCACCCAGAGTTGTGTTTAAGATGGGTGGCCATACAAATTTTATAAATATATAAATAAATTGCTCCAAGTTGGTTTCAAAGTACGTATAAACTGAGTTTATGATCTCTTCTAAAAATCCTCCCTGGGCCCTCCGTGATAAGATGAAGTGTGGCTGTTCTAATTGTTACCTTTTTTTCTTCTGACACTGTCACAAACTTGCAGTTGCTGCAACTACATGACAGGTTGCTTGAGGGCAGGAACACAAACATCCCACAAGTGCTACTGGTCACGAGTGCAGAATCATGCCCTTTTCTTCAGGACTGTTTTATTAAACCCCCCAATAGAAAAGCAGCTATTTCTTTTTGACCTTTCTCAAGCTTTCAGGCTAGTTGAGTATACGTTGTCCAGACAATGGACAAAAAATTAAGGACAACAGAAGTACAGATGGTCCTTGTTTAACCACAGCTTGTTCAGTGACTGTTTGAATTTACGATGGTGCTGAATGAGTGGTAGTTACGATGGGTTCTTTTACTTACAGCTGTCGCAGAGTCCCCACGGTCATGCGTTCACAATTTGCAACCTTCCCTGCCAGTTTCTGACAAGCAAAGTCAATGGGGAAGGCAGCAGGAAGTTGTAAGTCAGGGTCACAAGAGGTCCTTGCTTAACGACCTGTGTGGTCCTCGTTTAATGATAGCAAGCAGGACTGCTGGAACTGTCATCGCTAAGTGGCACGGTCACATGTTTTTTGATTTACGACCACATCGCTTAGCAATGGAGTTTCTGGTCCCAATTAGCATCATTAAGCAAGAGCTACCTGTACACGAGCTTGCATGATTGTGTCCTGTAGAGAGAACAGAGGGTGGCCTTGACAGAGAGAGGAACATCCATTACCGAGGCAAAGAAAGGATAAATGTGGCTTAATACAAAGACAGAGATCTACAAAAATGCCTAAGACAGGCTCCCCCCTAATTCACATGAAGATAAAAGAGGAGGAGGGGAAGCACATTCAGACTTGCAAGCTTCTGTTTCTATAGCTGTTCTAATAAAAGTAGATTTTGGCCCACGTAGTGTCTGTTTCTTGATTTGGTTTACCTTATAGGGCTGACATGTCCTCCCATACATCTTTGTCTCTCCTTGCCCCTGAAGTAGAATTTTTGGGGGATTTTTAGAGAAACCCCAGTGCTAAACATTAAACAACCTTTAGAGTAGAATCAGTAAGAGAAAATAAAAACAATAAAAATATAGATATCCATATTAAAATAACTAATAACAATTCTATGTAAAAAGCCTACATACAATTCAAGATGTTTGGTGGGGGAGGAGTATTGATCATCTCACCAGCCAATTCCAACAATGTGAGCCCCCATCAGGCCCCCAGGAATTATTGAGGCAGCTCCCTTGTTTTTAACATCCTTTTATTCTCTGTTTTATTTTGCTTTTTATATTTTAATGTATTTATTGATTGTTTTTAGCTTTGTTGTATGCCACCCAGAGTCACCTGTAGTGAGATGGGTAGTTATATAAATTGGTTCAATAAATACATAAATAAGTAGCCATGTTTTCACACTTTTTTGGAAGGCCAGGAGGGTGGGGGCAGCCCGCACCTCAGGTGGCGAGCTGTTCCAGGCCACTTGGAGCCCGGCATTCCTGGCTTTGTATAAAGACAAGGGAAAGTCTTAACTGCAAGAAGGCAAGCCAGCCATTAGGAGTGTACAGAAAAGGCGCTGGGAATCAAGGTTTTCTAGATAGTGGCTCAGGAAATTGACCAATTTAAGATACACCCTAAAGACCTATTGTTTAAGTAAAGGCTTCTATTGGGCAGGAAAAGGCAGTCTCATTTATCCTGTCCCTCATTATATTACAAAAATAAGTATTATCCGGACCAATCAATAGGGGCAATATTATCAAAGTATAATGATAAAAACTAATCATACTGTAATAATATAGTGAATCAAAGGGAGGAATTCATTTGCATCCTCCTCTAAGAGGCTCTGTAACCCACCCCGCTCTGGGCTTTGCTACTGGGCATCCAGTGCCAGAATCGTTGAATAAAATCATGTTGCTGCAATATAATGGCGCCCTGGTCTCTTGCAGGTGAGGTGGGCTGGGTGGGTGGGTGGATTTTCAACTACCCCGCATCTGTGAGCTGCTTCTGCATCATCAATGCATCAGTGCTGAGGCCTCCTGGTTTCAGGAATAGTGGACTAGACTCAAGCTGAACTAAAAGCCCTGGATAGGGAGACCAGAAAAATAATGAGAATGAATCATGCCCTTCATCCATGCAGCAACGTTGACAGACTCTACTTACCAAGGAGGATAGGTGGGCATGGAAAGTTGCAAGTACACCAGACAGTTCATGAAGAAAAAAGGGCATTGGAAGAATATCTGAAGGACAGTGAAGACGATGCCCTGAAGCTAGTACACCATGAAGGCTCACTGAACACCAAAGAGACCGAACTGGCCTACAAGAAAGACCAAATGAAGAACAGAAAGAGACAGGGCAAGGCAAAGTATTAAATGGCCAGTACATTAAAAAAAAAAAAGAAAAAATCTAGCAGGCAAAGCAAATAACAACAAGACCTGGCAGGAAAGCTGAAGAAAGAGACAGAGGGGCTAATTCTGGATG